TAGAAAGAAACTGGCTTTGGTATCCAGATACAAAGACAACAGACCACTTCAGCCATGGATTAAGAGCATTAGCAATCATCTGTGGTTTTCATGTTCATCTTGTGGAGGTGACCCGGATGTAAGTTGCGTGACTGTGTTTCTGTAACTGGTTTTTATCAAATAAACTAGAAGACAGCTAAATATTTACTTCAAATTTATCAGGAGCTGATCAAAAGGTCACTTCTGCACCACATTTGTGGGGGTTCATTCCTGGACAGAAGATGGAGAAGAAAGAAGATGTCTGCATAGCGAGCTTACCTCTGATGAGCAGAGAAAAAACAAATGGCTTGATAAAAAGTCCAGGGCATTCATTACATTAGAGAACCTTGTCTTAGACAAGGGTCTTCTGAAGGACCTCAGGCAGATGGCACTTTTCAAGCATACTGGTCAGTTTACATATGTATAATGTATGTTCATGTACAGAGCAAGAATATTTTTGAACACTGTATTATTTTAGTTTTTATCAGGTAAGCTTGAAGTGTTCCATTCACTGCTCCTGAAGTACTGCCCCAAAAGAATACACTTCCATTACACATCAATGCTTGCACGTACCCAGGTGGCAGTGCTTGACCACAATGAGAATGTTCACAGACAGCAGGCCAGAACCAACACTGGTAAGTTTGCTATACAATACATCACTGATTGTAATTTAATATTTCAGTACAAATATAAATACAATTTTTATTTTTTTTGGTAGGTACGCCACGGTTCAGTGTAGTGTTCCCCAAGCACTCTAAACAGTGGGTGGCCAGAAAACTGTACGAGTCCCCAACTCAAAATTTCAAAGATTCCACATTGCATGGTGGTTTTCTTTAGGGGTGTGTGTGTGATGTTTGACATTGCCTGTTACAGTAGTATCCAAAAGTCAATATATCTGTTAAATAACTAAATGAGGAGTATTTAACAAAAAGCTTATAGGAAAAAGTCAGTAATTGAGATATTTAAATTATAATTGATCTATTAAACATCGTATTGCATTTGGTTCCTTATTTACTTATAATAGGTTTTAAGTTGTTTATAATTTGGTTTATAACTACATTTTTTTTCAGTGATTTGATAACTGTTCATTTGTGAATCTATGGATAAAGAAAATTAAACTGGTAAAATACTTGCTTTCATGTAATGGCATTACTCTTTATTCTAATTGTCTATCTATCTTTATATAATGAAACCATTACAAGTACATACTGTTTAGTATTGCACATAGAAATTAACATGTATTGACAATTTTGTTTTATTTTAGGAATTCAAAGACAACTGAAATTTACATTATACCACCAGCCAAAAATTTCACAAAGTCATTGATTGCTCATAAATCGATAATAAATGGTAATGCCTATAAAATAAGAAAAAGGCTTACATTACAATTAATAAATATTGAAAATATATAGAACATAGTTACAAATTATAAGAGTTCAATTCAAATGTCTACAACATTGCAAATGCATTGTTTGCTTCTGTGAAGCCCACATAACGTCCAGAGGGGGATGGGTATTTCTCGCGGATGGCTTTCACCACACAAGAGAGTAAAACTTTTCTATTTCTTCTGCCCAGATATTCCCCCTTCAGCATCCACTCCAAAACCACACGATACGCCACCAACCTGCACTGACTGAAATATAAGGCAAACACTATAATAAACTCATATGTTCATATGCACCCCTGTAATCATTGCAATAACATTACAAATACAACACATTACTCACTCTATTGACAGCGTGCCATTGGGTCCCTCTGGCCTTGGACGTCGCCTCCAGTTTATACGTGGCAAGCTAAACACAACGTGCAAAACGCTGCGGCTCAACAGCGGAGAAAAGTCTGGATCTTCAGTCAGGCAGGTGTGTGATGGGACACCCTCGGCAATGTCCTCGTCGGCGTCTTGTAGTTGTGGCATTGCTATGTTACATTCGTGAAAACAGATGCTCTCCACTTCTGTTGTGATCTCACAACACTTATTACAAGAACACCACCACTTTTGAAGAGATCTCGGTCTCTCTGAGGCTTGAAGACGTGCTGCTGCAACAGATGCTTCCTCCATCTCTCTGAGTTCTTGATCTGAGTATTCTGGTTCAAATAAATACGGTTGGGCAAAAAAAATCCACGTGGTCTGTTGATATATCAAAATCGTCTTCCATTGTGATGATCTGTACGTCTAAATATCTTTAGATCTTCACAGTGGCAGGGAACACTTCCGCAATGACTGTGCACTGTGTAAACAATGAGTGACGTATACGCGCGAGAGATCACTTCCGGCGCTTGCGTAAACTACGCCAGAGTAGTTAACCTACAACAATGACAAACCATGGTTCACTGCAAAACTCAGACAGCTCCGCAAGG